ATTAAATTGTGACTTCTACAATGGCTTCGTTTATCCATCTTCCAATGTTTTAATTTTGCTTTAATTATCATCCTCATGATTAATTAATCCATAAAGACACATTTGAAATATCAATTACACTTACTTGATACTAATTGTTTTTATCAGTCGAGATAAACAGACACATTTTTAAAAGCTTTTTTCTTTTTTTTAACCTTTCAGGAAACGTCATCGGTGCATGTGTAGAAGCTTTTATTATGTTTTTGCTTCATCTTGCAGTTTGTCTCACTGTATTCAAAGTCAGTAAACAACGACACAAAATAAACTACAATATTGTTCAAAAGTATTATGGTAATGAATGCTTGGGGTCTGTTTGGACTCTGACAATAATTTTTCAGACACTTTGCATGCGAAGGGGGTGCATTTTAAAGCAAACGTTTTGCTTGTGACATTCCGTGATAAATCCTTCAAAATCTCCCAGTTTGATGTCAGACCTGACACTTGCTGCGTACCCCCCCCCCCATTCTCAGTCTCGGATAAACAACCAACTGCCACGAAAGCTCTGATAAAGGAAGCAAAAGTGCGTTTCATCAAAGAAAAATAAAATGACTTAAATTCTGCGGAAGGTAGAAAAATCGACTTTTTGATTTTTCTGCATTGTGGATACACAATAAATCTGTGACAATTACTTTGGCAAAGGGATTTGACACTTTGGCAAATCCCTTTGCCACTTTGCACTCACACTGCCTGATTAATTCTTTCTTTGCTGTGTTTTGCTTTGTGTGTTCAGTCTTGGTGCACACCCCCTAAACTCCCTGCCCTTCCCCTCTCTTTTGAGCGTTGCCTGGACCACTTGACCTCTTCTGATTGATGGAGATTGATGGGTAGCAGTTACTCCTGGTAAGGATCTTGGTAGTCGTTAATTCCCCTCCCTGACCACCGCCATAAATCTGTCTTTAGACATTAAACTGTGACAGCACACATATTTGTGTGCATGTCGTGAAAGGCAAAGATGGATTTGTGAGAGAGTGAGATTTATTGTGTGTGACCTCAATGGGAATCTCCAGGAAAGAAGAAAAATTACTTTAAGAGTGGCAATTTGCAGTGTTTTTTAAGTTTTTAGACATATTTTAGGGTCTTTGACTGTTGAGTCTCGCTTTGTGGTTGGAAAGCAAGTATCTGTTTGTGAGAAAAATATGAATAATGCAATAAAGATATAATGAATGGGAGGTCTTTACAGAACGAGGTGTGTATCAAAGCTCCTCTCTGACTGAATCTGCGGTGTCTGTTACACAACTGCATGACTCTGAGGATGAATTTGACAGCTCATTATTTACAGTGTAACAACTAATAAAAAAAACAACAACTTCTAGTTAAAGATTTATTCAAAATGCCAGAGGAATGTTATGTTTATGCACAAAAACTATCTATCTATAACAAGAGTAGTCCACTATTTATGTGCACTCAAGGATCTTACCTCTCAGCATCACCTCTATTGGAATAAAAGCATAATTGATGAGCAAAGAAAATCAGAAGAATAAATCATTAAGCAGCTCTTGCTAACGCAAGACTCCGGAGAAAAGACACCCGTTGTTCAAATAAATGGACAGTCACAAAAACACGGCGGGTATTTCCGCAGGTTAAGGCAGAATAGTACCCTCTTCCTCAGCAGGAGGCAGGACATAACAAGTTAAACATAGTTAAGACATCTAGAGAACAAGAGAGGTGCTCTTAGGGAAACGGAAAGGGAATTGAAAAAGAAAGAGAAGAACAGAAAAAAATGGCTTCTCTCTATTGCGTCATTCATAGAAATGATGGGGCACACACAGAGACAACCAGAGTGAGAATGACCCCTATAGCTGGGGCTTTCCAAAAAGCAGCGAAAAGCAGAGGGAAGCGCACTCGCACATTCACTTACAACCTTTCAGATGTCTGCAGGGTGCCCCTCAACATCCTCTGCATGGTCCCCTGACCCATTTCAACACTATTCTTCCCCAATATCTGAGGCCTGCCGTACAAATTCCTCTGATCCTGTCATTATTGATTTATCACACACTCTCTTATTCTATGATTCTCTGAAAGAAGATGGTGGAGAAGCTAAAACATGAGAACACGAGAGCATAAAAAAGGGTAACTATTTTCAAGGCCTTTAATGTTGATCAACTGAATAAAATAGACTGAATGTATAGATAATAAATCAGTACAGGGGTTTTTAATACTTTGATGCTTTAATACTTTAATACTTCGAGCCAAAAATAAAATAAGTTATTGGCCAAAAAAGTTACAAAATGTGTTTTCTGACCTGCAAAAAGGAGCAGAGGATGAAATCAAAAACATTTTGGCAGTTTGCTGCCCCAGAACACAAACCAAATTTCAAAGGTGGGAAGGCATTTTAGAGAAAAACTGTAGCAGTCTATCATGTGGGCAGAGTTACGAGTTCAGTTCCAAAGAGTGCATCATTGTCTGATGAAAATGTTCAAGTCACTTGCTAATCTTTCAAATAATGAGGATGTTTGTAGGTCAGACTGCGAAAAACTCACTAATGTTGCAAATAAAGAAGTCCAAGAGCTGCATTTCAGACTATAAATGCTTTAGCATTTCAAATTTTAAAGTTCAAGTTATTATTCATACAAATATACTGAGGAAAGGAGGCTTGCTTGGAAATTTGCAAAGTTGCATTTCACTCAGAGAATTTGGAATAATATTCTTCGGACAGATACGAATTATTCTTATTATGACTTTTTTTTCTTATGAAAGAGCAGGTAAAACAACAGAATCATTAAGCAGCATAATGACCCCACACACAGCAGCAAATAACTGCTAAAGGTACTTTTACATGCCACTGACTAGTTTACTGTTTTCTTGCTAGTTTACACTTCTTAAAAAATCCTTTTGTGTCATATTGTTTTGAAAACTTTGGAAAATGTTGTATTAACTTTTCTATATGCATTAAACCATCTTGTTGAGCGCAAATTTTGGTTTTAAAAAAAGTCTGGAAAAATGTCAAGCGGCGACTTGGAGTAAAAAGCTCTTCTTTTGTGAATGGAAAAGTTCAAAAGGCCCCCCGGAGCCCTGGTCTCTCCGGGTTGGCTGTGAGAAGCAGCACACCTGGTGAGGGGGTCCAGGCTCACATAACCACTGTGCAAATCATTGTTTCAGCAGGGGCCTTATCGCGGCCACAGCTCTTTAAAGGAGAAACGGGAAAAGCTTCACATTTCACATGAGTTAGCATTTGAGAGGAGGTGTGTGAACAGACAGCTGAAGTGTCCAGTTTTGACAGCAGTCATGACTCATTCACGATTTCACTGACAGAAACGCAATGAAAACGTTGATCGAAATACGAATTGTGTTGTTAACCTCGATCTAACTTCACTGCAGCCCCAACCTACCTCTTCTTTCAAAAAAACAAAACTATGCCCTTGGTGAAGCTTTCCTCATTAAAGGCCCATCAGCAGGGCACATCATTACCTGTTTACTCCTTTCATTCGTCTCTCCTCCCTCTCTTCTGCTCTCTCTGTTAGCCAGCCAGCTGCCACACACTCCAGAGGATATTCCAATTAGAAACAACACACAGAGACACGCAAATGTGCTCTGGTGGATATTCCAATTAAATCTAACACACCGCACAAACACACTCAAATGTACACATGAAGTTGCTGGTGGACATGCTAATTAGTTGAGCAAACATGGCATGGATGCTGTTTAGCCCATCCAGTGAGACATGTCAAATATTACCCACACGCACACAGATTAGACTTATAAGGGCTTAAAAACAACATGACTTCACCTGATCACGCTTTGCAATGGCTGAAATGCCTCAACACCTGGAAATGGTAACAAGCACAAAATCATGTACAGTAGGTCAAAGGCTGGCTCTGACATTCATGCTCATTCCTGCGAGGTCTGAGGCTCTGCCAAAAGCAATGAGAAGGCCTGTTTGAAACCAATAACTGGATGAAGCCTCCGTCTGAGGAATGCGAATAAGTTACCCCGTTGTTCCCGAACACTTTTCCGGCTACTGCATGGATGTGCAGAAATAAAAAGGTCACTGGGAGGGAAAGAAAGAAGGAAAAAGGTCCCTCATTTAAAACTTCCTGCATCCATAACCATCCCAAAACAGTCGCTTCTGGTGGCAAAATATGAAAGTTGGCAGAGGGAAAAACTATGAAATATCCAGGAGGAGTACGATTTCCCTCATGTGTGATTATACAGGATCACTTTGATGTGAGCTTCTTTTTTTCATACGAGAGGCTTGTGTCTGCCTTGAAAGGAAAATACGCTGAACTCTGGGGAAAGGGAGAAATGAAAGCTCCCTGACTGACACTCCAAAACAGGGAGAGATTATAAGAGTTGACCGGATTTTGTAAAAAGGAGAGAAGGAGGAACTTCAACACAGATTTGTATACAGAGAGAATGACAACCTACATTTGGGATTGAGTTAATGGCTATCTGAAGGACATACATGGATGTCCCCAGAGAGATCCAAGCACAAACATGCAAACCAACCACAACTGTGAACGTGCACAAACTAGATAGCTTTGGTTTTTGTAGAAGTGTATCCTTTGTGTTTTGGATTAGATCTGTAACCAGGTAATTCTCTGAAAGCGATCAGATTGTTCACATGTCTTGGCGTCCATTGTCCCCTCATCTATCTTCAATTTGTACATATTGGCTTTACAAAGGCAAACGTGCTCAGCATTGTGAAGTGGAAACTTCTGTAATCAATGACCTGTCATGAATCTGAATGGCTCCATAAAAGTATTTTATATTGTCGATAACCCACTGCTTCAGTAGTTCTAGTAAACATAATGGTCTACTTTGTGTGTGATATGAATCAGATTAACTATTAGAATGTGTGTGCCTGCCTGCGTGTGTGCACCGAAGATTGAATGAAAAAATCTTGTGGCTGCTTACGGAAAAAAAAGGTAGTATTGTTCATTTTAGGATTAAAATGGCAGTGAACCATTCAGAACGTTAAAAAGAAAAACACTCCAAAAGCAGTTGCCTACACTGACACTCACCCTCTCTGCGGACTGTGACGTGCCAAAGAAGATGGGTATGAAGGCCAGCCAGATGATACAGGTTGTGTACATGGTAAATCCAATGGGCTTGGCTTCGTTGAAGGTTTCGGGGACGCCTCGAGTCTTGATGGCGTAAACCGTGCACGTCACCATGAGCAGGATGGAGTAACCCAGGGAGCAGATGAGGGACAGGTCGGAGATGTCGCACTTGAGCACTCCGCGTGCCGCCGTGGGGTCCTGGGTCCGCTGCTCGCCGTAGTCCACCACCGTGTGCGGAGGGTCCACGGCAAACCAAACAAAGACGCCCAGGAGCTGGACCGAGATCAGGGAGAAGGTGATGACCAGCTGGGACGCGGGAGAGATGAACCTGCAGAGCAGAGCGGAGTGTCACCACCCAATGACAGCAGTAAGTCAAGTTCAGTTAACAGGAGTTCTGAAAAGGAAGAGTCAAATAAACAAGAAGAAACTATGGACTGTGGGGGAATGTGAAAGAGAGAGAGAAGCTCTCCCTAAGTGAAGCTTATAAGAGGCCTCAATGCTCTGAGGTATCCAAAAACTGAGTGCACAGAACTGAAGTATGATAGCTTTATAGATGCATCTTTACTGTCCAGACATATTAGATCAAATGTAGCAGAAAATTAGAGGAACAATAAGGTCTTAAAATGAAATAAAATCACATAAAAATGTCAGGTTACTGTGCTCCACCGTGAGACAAAGCAGTTTTCAGGCAATCTCCCACTGCACAGCAATCTGACAAAGACACATTATATCCACTTGGTTAAGACTGAGGTAGATCAAGGGTATGATGAAAACCTCAGCAGGAACACAGCTTTAGAGGCAACGAGGAGTTACGTGTATTAAAACGGCACTGGAGGGAGGAAATGTGATGGCAAACTACAACTGAATTTAAAAAGGGAAGCACAGAGTATCCTAAAATGTCCTGCTTAAAGGGTGCTCAGAGACACGCAGCTGGTCATCTAAATAGCGGGGACATGAACCTAATGATTATTAAATCCTGCATTAACATTCAAAACACCTTAGTTGATGCTCTCCTCCAGAGTCACTCACACCGACAGCAAACAGTGCAACGGGTGAGGGTGGGTTCATGACTCACATACATAATGTATGACAAATAAATGATGAGTAATGATTGCACTTAGCTTAATAGGGAGGAAGTGGAGGTTAAGTCTTTGAGAGACTACAGAGTGCACAAAAACAACAGTCACAGCAACATTTACTGCCACCGCTAACAAGTATTGAACATGGACAAGGACAGACTGAGAGCACATAATGATAGATATTCTTCTTTTATTACCTGGGTGCTGTTACAGACTTTTTCCCCTGCTCAAAGATACGATGTATCCTGTTGGTCTTTGTGAGCAGCGCGGCATAGCTGAAGCACATCCCCAGGCCCAAGAAGATCCTCCTGAACGAGCACACGCCCACATCTGGAGTGGCGATCATCAGGAAGGTGATGGCATAGCACAGGAAGATTCCCGTCAACAGCACGTAGCTCATCTCCCGGCCGGACGCTCGCACGATGGGCGTGTCATTGTAGCGCACAAAAGTGACGATGACAAAGGACGTGGCGATGATCCCGAGCATGGAGATGAAGACGGGGATGATGGCCCAGGGGGAGTGCCACTCCAGCTTGATGATGGGGATGGGAACACACCCGGTGCGGTTGGCGTCAGGCCGCATCTCATATGGACAGAGCTCACAGGTGAATTCTGAGGCCTGAGGGACAAAGCGGCAATGATTTGTTATGAGATAAACTGGGACCAAAAAGCGTTTTTTTAACAGTTTAAGAATTTGCCTTGCAGAGGGAGATTTAAAGATATCTTCCATATTGTAAAGTTACTTTTCAAGAGAAATACGAATTCGACATGGTTTTATGCAGTCAAGTGAAAAAGGGAATAGTTTCACATATCAGGGGACAATGAGAAATGAGCTCAAATGAGCCCTTAGCATTATGTGAATACACCCTCAGTTGAACAACACGGCATATTACATTTGCCTTTTTCCACACAGAAGAAAAAAAGCAATGTGTAATAAGATGAGAATCCAATTCAAAAGGCTTGCACAGCCAATAACAAAGCCATCCTTTTTAGTATGACATTATCAGTATTCTGACAGGTCTTTATCACATTGCTTCAGTTTATTAAGATTTTAAAACATTTATCTTCAAGCTGTTTTTTATGCACTTTGCTATAAACGAGGGTGACAGGAGGGTGTATTACTTTTTTTATACATACTTTGGTCATCCTTTTCTTTTACACATAATTATGCACAAACACATTATTGATTTTACAACCAATGAGTAAATGCATAAAATTTGTATTGACTTCTCAATTTGACAATAGTGAGCAGCTGCTGTTATGAGAGAGATTTTTTTCTGATGTTGCTTCCTAAGCGAGGACACCAATTGCACATAACCCGTCTGCTCTAATTTCCTAGCGTGATGAGAAGGATGATGACCTGCCAAACCGTCCCCAAGATATAATCAACGTAAGAAAAATATTGTTTTAATGTGTTTTCAGATCCTTTCCCTTACTGCACATTACAAGTATTCCATTTTCTTTAACAGCATCTGTGGGTTTTTTATCTTCCTGCATACAGTAATTTGAAATGGATCTTTTTTTTTTTTTTTTGGATGCAGAAAATTACTTGCAACAACAAGAGCAGATCACAACTCTTTGGTGCAGGAATATGAACTGCCATCTAAAAAAAGTTGCATGCCCAAATAAGTCATATTTTCTCACTGTTAGAGCTTTTAAGCTAATGTTTTTTCATTTGCACAACTGATGCCGCTACATCTACTGAGAATAGAGCTCTGGTCATGATGCTTTTTCCAACTGTAAATTGGTTAAAACAAGAGATGTAAGGATGTCACTTTTTAAGTGTAACTATTTTTTTCTTTTTTTAGGGGGGGGGGGTGTAAGACCAAGAAGGGTCCCTGTGTAAAAAAGGAAGATTAAATGAAACCACAAAATTCTATGGCCAATTCAACACCCCCATCACACTATTTAGCTTTTGCTTTTGGTTTTAGAGACGTAATTAAGTTTTTTTTACAACTTCTAAACAATTTATGATCATAACTACTGTTAATATTTCTTAAAACTTTAAAGCAAATGTCTTAAAATAGCTCAATTTTAAAGAAACCCTCCAAAAACAACATTTGTAAGGGGAATTGATTTAATTATTGTTATTAATTCTATTACAAGCTTCAGAACTTAGTTTCTGATCTCAGCGGTCTACCTGATAGTGGTATCCCTCGCAGCGTTCACAATGCCAACAGCATGGCACCCCTTTCACAACTTTCTTCCTCTCGCCCGCTCTACAGGGGATGCTGCATACAGAGGCCGGGAGAGATGGATCACCAGTCCTCCAGCGCATGGCCTCCACCTAAGAGGGGAGTGCAGAGCACAGAGACATTTGTGTTAAATGACGATCTCGCTGGATATAATGGGGCCAAGCAAACCTTCCTGCCATCTGTTAAAGCTCACATTACTTTGTGATAACGGTCTTTTAACACTCTGCGTACCTGCAGAATGTGTGCTTTGGGGGGTGTTTGGGAGTAATTAGCAAAAGTACACCCCCTGATTGTTTTCCTGAGCGCTATCAGCCACAGAATCAAAGCCAGCTAGTTTGACAGTAAGCAATCTGACCATAAACAGAAGCGGCACAAGTAAGCCATCTGGGGTTCCCTCTGCATGTGTCTGTGCACACGTTATCCAGTGTGTGTGATTTCTGCCTGTTTGTGCATGTGTCATGTCGACAAATGAGAGAATCTCTGAGTTGGTAGTAAGTCCAGTTTGTGTGAGTTTCAATGTGTTAATGTTCAAACGTTTTGTTTGTTTGTTTGAGAGAAATTTAGTACACAGAAAGAGAGACGACAGTTTAAAAAATTCAGGAAAGGAAAAGCCAACTTGATCCAATGATTGACCAAGTAGATGCAATCCCATTAGGAAATGACAACTTGGTTGTACAACTATAGATACTACTCTTTTGCAGCATCTTTGCACCATCAGCAAATATCTCTTAGTGCAATCAAATTCAAACTTTTTATTGATCATGAGGAAGTCCTCTCTGACTACAGACGTGTTGATTCATCAGCTGTCAGAGCGTCTAATCAGATAAATGTGTGTGTGTGTGTGTGTGTGTGTGTGTGTGTGTGTGTGTGTGTGT